ACCACAAAGAACCCAAGAAGGGCTCCCACAGGACATACAGAACATCCCACAGCACATGTGTGTGAGTGTGCAGATGTGTGAGTGCTCACGGAGACCAGAAAATACCTCAGATGTCACATGTCAGTCTTGAGATGTCATCCAGCCTTCCTCCACCCTTCCCTTCTTTCCTCCCTTACATTTCTTCCCCTCTCAGCCCTCTCTACCTCCCTCATTCCTTCCCTTCCTTTCTCTCTTCTGTAAGGGTCTCTTGCTGGCCTATAACTCACCAAGTAGGCTAGTCACGCTGGCCAGCAGGCTCCAGGGATCCGCCTGTTACTACCTCCTCAGTGAGGGGATTACAAGTGGAAGACACACTGCTGCTGCTGCCACTCCCCTCCTCCCCCATCTCCCCACCTCCTCCTCCCTCTCCTCCCCCTCCTCCTCTTCTGCCTTCCTTCCTCCCCCTTCTCCTCCTCCCCCTCAACCTCATCCTCCCCTTCCTTCTCCCCCTCCTCCTGTACCTCTGTACAGTATATGATTAAAGCTTAGCACCCAGGCACAGACATTTTTTTTGTAGGGGGCTGGAAAGGTTAGACAAGGCTCACCTCAGAAGAAAAACTATTAAGAAGCTTCTGTATAGACAATGTGGAAAATGTGAGGGGGGGAAAGAAAGAAAATCACTCATAATTCTCCTCCCCTACATGACCTCTGCTAACATTTTGGTAGATGGTTTGCACTTCTCTTGCAATGGAGCGTCTTAAACTATGGCTTTGGTTTTAAATAGAGGGGAGAGGGGAGAGGGGAGAGGGGAGAGAGTTAGGGTTACAGGGTTAGGGTTAGAAGAGTTAGGGTCATAGTCGTAGTCAGGGTTGGAAGAGTTAGGGTTAGTGTCAGGTGTAGTTTCAGGGTCAGAGTCGGTCAGGTGTTGGTGTAGCATGAATCCTCAAGGGTCTTAGTAATAAAAAACAAACCTGATGGCAAGTATTAGGGTGAATTAAACTAACCCTAACCCTGACCCCTAACCCTAACCCGAACCCTAACCCTTCAACCTTCCTGTAATCTCAATTCTCCTGTTAGTCCAGCTTATAATTCATGCATGGCCACTGGCCAATCAGTGTTTTATATATTGACCAATGAGAATAACAGATTAGACAAACAAACTAACCCCCTGAGGAACCCTAACCCTAACCCTGTAACCCTAACCCTAACCCTCTAACTCTAACCCTAAACCCTAACCCTGAATTCTGACCCTAACCATAAACCCTAACCCTCTAACCCTAAACCCTAACCCAGACACCCACCCCAACCCCAATCCTCTCTCATAATCTAACCCCCTAACCCTTGACTCTGATGCTGACCTTATCCTAACCCTAAACCCTGCCCCTAACCTGACCCAGACCCTGACCATCTTCACCAGTATCCTGACCAGTATACTAAAACTGACCCCAACCAAGACACCCACCCCAACCCCAATCCTCTCTCTCACAATCTAACCCCTCAACCCTTGACTCTGATGCTGACCTAACCCTAAACCTTGACCCTAACCTGACCCAGACACCAACCATCTTGACCAGTACCCTTACCAGGATACTAAAACTGACCCGAATCAAGACACCCACCCCAAACCCAATCCTCTCTCACAATCTAACCTCCTAACCCTTGACTCTGATGCTGACCTAACCCTAAACCTTAAACCCAGACCCTAACCCTAACCCTCTAACCACTGGAGGATGGTCTCCCAGCAGGTTGAAGGAATCCTGACCTCCCTGAGAGGAAGCCATTACAGCTGGGCTCTGCTCCACTCCCCTAAGGGAGTTTCCCAGCAGAGGTGTCCATTTCTTCTCAGATCCATCCCAAATGCTTCACTCAACTAAAAACAAACCACTGCACAAATGTGGCAGTCTGCTCCAGCTCCATGAAAAAAGTGTTTACTCCCGCACTGCTCCCATAAGGTAGTTTCTCAGTAGAGGTGCCCATTGCTTCTCTGGTCCACTCCACTAGGGGATTTCTGATCTGCTCAGGCAAAAGAAAATCTTCACCCAAAACTCATTCAAGACATTTATTTTGGAGGGACGTATACAGGGCAGTGGCTCTGCCAGGGTAGAAAAGGGAAGCTGCCAATTGAACAAGATTCTTAGAGGTGCAGTTTTCCAGGCATATTTTCAGGGCAGGAATTGGTCAGATTTTAATCCCTGAGCATGAACAAGTTTGGAGATTGGCTGAATTTCATGCTCATGTATTGGTTGGTTTCAAGCTCAGAGACTGGTTGGTTTTGTGCTCAGTTGGTCAAGGGTAGATGTGTTTCTTTGGCTCTGATTTCAGGGACAAAGTGTTTCTTTGACTCTGGTTTTAGGGTCAGGGTATGTTTCTTTGGCTGGCCCCTTTACCCTACACATAGGGCTTCATAAATTCATAAATTCATTTTTCCCATGAGTTAGCTGGTGCAAACAATATAAAAATGGACATCAAAATGTGTGAACAGATGGTTGACACTGTCAACATTTTTATCTACACAATACTGTTGTTTAAATGATTTAAGTGTGTTGGCTAAAGATCCTACCAAATACTTTATAATAAGAAGCCCTCAGTATCTTTTTCAGGTACTCGAAGACTATTGTAATATGCAAAGGTTTTAACAGATGGCACACAAAGTTTTACTCCTGTATAATCAAAGTATAAAACTTTACCACACTGACTACATTTATAGGGTTCCACTACAGTATGCTTTTTTCTCATGATATCGAAGATTACTGGTACATGCAAAGGCTTTACCACACTGATTACATTCATAGGGTTTCTCTCCAGTATGTGTTCGTTTATGCTTTAGAAGATTACTGTAACGTGCAAAGGCTTTACCACATTGACTGCATTCATAGGGTTTATCTCCAGTATGTATTCTTCTATGTAATTTAAGACTATTGTGATTTGCAAAGGCTTTACCACATTGATTACATTCAAAGGGTTTCTCCCCAGTATGCATTCTTTTATGTATTTGAAGAGTACTATTACGTGTAAAGGCTTTACCACATTGATTACATCCATGTGGTTTCTCTCCAGTATGTGTTCTTTTATGCATTTGAAGACTACTGTGATGAGCAAAGGCTTTACCACATTGATTACATTCATAGGGTTTATCTCCAGTATGTACTCTTTTATGCATTTGAAGAGTACTCTTACATGCAAAGGCTTTATGACACTGATTACATCCATATGGCTTCTCTCCAGTATGTTTTCTTTTATGCAATTGAAGATGACTTTTATATGCTAAGGCTTTTTTACACTGATTACATTCATAAGGTTTCTCTCCAGTATGTGTTCTTTTGTGCATTCGAAGAGTACTATGCTCAGCAAAGGCTTTACCACACTGATTACATTCATAGGGTTTCTCTCCAATATGTGTTCTTTTATGTATTTGAAGATGACCGCGTTGAGTAAAGGCTTTACCACACTGGTTACATTCATAGGGTTTCTCTCCAGTATGTGTTCTTTTATGCATTTGAAGATTACTTTGATGAGCAAAGGCTTTACCACACTGAATACATTTATAAGGTTTCTCTCCAGTATGTGTTCGCTTATGCTTTTGAAGATAATTGTTAAATGCAAAGGCTTTACCACACTGATTACATTCATAAGGTTTCTCTCCAGTATGTGTTCTTTTATGCCTTTGAAGAGTACTCTGATGAGCAAAGGCTTTACCACATTGATTACATTCATAGGGTTTCTCTCCAGTATGTGTTCTTTTATGCCTTTGAAGAGTACTCTGATGAGCAAAAGCTTTACCACATTGATTACATTCATAGGGTTTCTCTCCAGTATGTGTTCTTTTATGCTTTTGAAGATGACTTTGATATGCAAAGGCTTTACCACACTGATTACATTCATAGGGTATCTCTACAGTACATATTTTTTCATGACTGTGAAGATGACTCTCAGATGCAAAGGCTTTAACACATTGAGTATATACAGGTTTCTCTCTACTTTGACTTCCATTATGCCTACAAGAATAAATGGCATGTGAAAAAGCTTTACCACATTAAACATACTGTTGAATCTTTATATCTGTATGAATTAATTTTACAAATTGATCCAACTGTAAAGAGGAATCAGATCTTAAGGTTTTATCACTGTGTTTACACGCATATTGTTCCCCTTCATTTTACCACCATTATTGCATTCATAAATTTACCTATACTGTGAGTTGTCACAGGCATCTCTGACGGAAATGGCAAAAGTCATAAAGCCAGCACAGCTGCTTGACAAAGATCCAGCAAAGCTGAAACACATGATGGCTGCTGTGCCACCTTTGGTTTTAATCTCCACCTGTTGCATACTTAGGAGACTTTTAATATTTGTACAAAATAGGGATAATGGACTGAGGAAAATTTTCATATGGATCATTTATGACTTCTCTGAGGAATGCTGATTCTAAGCTCCCACAGGACAATCCTGAACACATTACCCCCCACCTACGCTTCTAGGGAGATATCTCTATCAACTTGAAGGTCTTCCTTATGCCTTGGAGGTTGATACACATAAAGAAGCCAGAGGTCTCTTTATGAGGCTATGAGACATTCTTGAAACATCTGTCCCTGTCCTTATGCAGAAACAAGATGTTCAAAGCAAAGTAAACCTAAAAAAGTCAACAAAATTCAGTGGCCTAGAGGAGTTGGCCACAGTTCAGATTGCAAAATTCTTCTCACTATACACTCAGGCAATTACATGGCACACACACCAACAAAGTTAGATTAGCTGAAGTTATTTCTGCCCTATGTAGACACTTACTTTGACAAGCAAAGAATGGAATGGAGAGATGATATAAGAATAAAATGTCAGTCAGGCAGTGGTGGCACACACCTTTAATCCCAGCACTTGGGAGGCAGAGGCAGGCAGAGATCTGTGAGTTCAAGGCCAGCTTGGTCTACAGAGTGAGATCCAGGACAGGCTCCAAAGCTACATAGAGAAACTCTATCTCAAGAAAAAAAAAAAGAATGAAAGGTCAGGACCTCCCTTTCTTAGAAAAGTTAGCACATGCAGAGCCACTGTGGTGTCATATGACCAAGGAACAGAATGCCAGAATTAGACATATAGACAAATTCTATTTTTGGTTGTGAGCCTAGCCTTTAACGGCTGAGCCATCTCTCCAGCCCGACAAATTCTATAAAGATATAAAATATAAACATTGTATTAAGCTAGAATTTGAATAATAACTGTAGCAGCTTTGGTTTGAGGGTATTTCTTAGGCTCTCTGACCATTAAGAGTTAATAATACACTACTTGGGACATGGCAATATTCTGGGTTGGCATGGAAATTTTTTGATCTAGTGTCCTTGAAGCAACAAGAGCTACCAGTCCAAGAATAGGCTATCATATGCCTCTACATTCTTAAGAATTGGGTCATGGGGCTGAAGAGATGGCTCAGAGGTTAAGAGCACTGACTGTTCTTCCAGAGGTCATGAGTTCAATTCCCAGCAACCACATGGTGGCTCACAACCATCTGTAATGAGACCTGGTGCCCTCTTCTGGCCTGCAGTCACATATGCTGTATACATAATAAATAAATAAATCTTTAAAAAAAGAATTGGGTCATTGGGTTGAGTAAAAATGATAACTGTTTATCAATGATGTAAAAACTTGATGGAAATGATTGGAAAAGATAACTCAGTTTATCAATGATGATTAAAAGATGTGCAAGAGTAAATGATTTTGTATATAAAGCCAGTGAGAAATACAGGTTGTCAGAGTAGAATAAGCCATATCAAAATGAGCTTCCTCTCTGTCCATCTCTCCTAAAACAAAACTAAGAAGTATTCTGTGTCTGATTCCTACCATCTTCAGACCCTGCACTCATTCAGAGCTGGACTCCAGCAGTGAGTCATATTACATTTGCTAAGTGAACTAGCACAAAGAGAAGTATTTACACAATCTGAATGTCATAGGCCATGACATAAATACAACAGATGGCAATTAGTAATTAAAGCCAACCCACCAGATGAATAATTATCTGATGGGAAGCCCCACTTGGCAAAGACTGTTGGGGTACAGTCTGTGAATGACTGGTTGCTTCTGTCTGTAATTTTTCTCATGTACCACTACATTTCTTTCCTAAAAACAGCTATGGATATTTCTCCATTGCTTATGTGTTTATCTCATGTATATATTCCATCTACTGGGCACACACATATCTGTGGATGGTCAGGACGATGACCTCTTCTTAAACTGTACAATTTTGATGAATAGAAATAATACTAGCATATTTTTCAAAACTCAGACTGACATAGGAAAATAACAGTATTCTCAGCTACAAAGACAGTTTTTTACATATTTAGCTAATTTTAGACCTCAGAACAAATCCAAAATAGACTAGTTGCCCATGGAAATGAACTGCACAAGGACAAGTTCCCAGGTGTCTATTGCTGTACCAAGGTCAGGCATGAAATAACTTTTGTGCCAGTTTTTCACTTGCAAAAGCCTGACAGATAACATCAAGACAATTCCCTGTACAAATCCTCTCAGCAACTGACTTTCGGCAAAGACCCCTAACCTCAGTTTATGATACAAGACTCAAGGTTCAGCCAACTAATTGTTTTTTGTTTAGGTAGTGAATTTCAGTGTCACTCTCTGTTGGGGAAAGCTGACCACTTAAAGTTACATGCTTGCTTAATCACTGGCCAATCAGCATGATATCCCTGGCCTGAGAGAAAGTGTGATTTTTCTCATGTGGAATCAAAATGGCTCAGATCCTAAACATGTAACTCATATATTTTCCAGAGTTTTGTTGTAGAAGGAGATGTGCACAGAGAGAGCTGTGTAGAGAGACGGAGCAGTAAGTAACTGTGTAAAGATGTGTGTAGGAAGAGATATGTAGAAAAGAGATGTAACTGTAGAGATGTGTGACTCTGTAGAAGAGAGACGTAGTGGTATAAAAAGAGATGTAACTGTGTGTAGAAATGTGTGGCTGTGTAGTAGAGAGATGTAGCTGTGTGGAGAGACATGTAGCTATATGGAGACAGATTTTTTTCAAGATTCAGTAATACAGAAAGTCACCATCAGAACACTTGTGCTTTCTTCCTAATACCCCTCAGATAGAAAAAGTCTAGCCCTCAACACATTTGTGGATTTTTTTGCATCCCCTGGTATTGTTTGGAGGCTGGCATTCCAGGCAGCAATATCCTTGTGTTCATAGGACTTTTCTGCAATGTGAGTTTGTTGATGTATTAATAGTAAAGCTGGAAAACCAATTACTTATATGTTTGAATAAAATTCAACAAGTATACTCAATGTGGGGACTGCTACATATCTTCTAATTGTTTTAAGAGAGAGGTATGTTATGTCTTTCCATATTCCTATGCCCATATGGCTTGTATTCAGAGTAATATATGATCAACCTACAAAAGGAAGAATAACAAATAAAAGACTTCCACACTTAATTCAGTTTGATTTTCTAGTCCTCATAGGTATAGGAATTAAGGTTTCTCCACAAAAACTGCCCCTTGACTCTTGACTCTAATTTCCCCTCTCACTCAACCAAGCACAGTCACAACAAAGATACCTTTTGTAATATTAGTATGAAATAAATGGGTTGACAGTTCTACAGCATAGCTCTCATTGTGCTATGATTCAAATGGTGATATCTGTTAAGGCATTATTTCTTTGTCTTCTTTCTTTAAAAAAAAAATGCCTTGCAAGTACAATTTGCCTACCTGAAATTGAGGTATATGGTTCTGTGAGAATTTAGTAATCATCATTGCACATGAAACTGTGCTTATTTACACTGTTGCTTTTGTTTAAAGCTTACAGGACACATTACAATTTCTTTGGAGGCACATTTGTATCAGCTAGCACATGAAAATTACCTTTGATGTCCTCTAGAACTTTGACAATGTTCTTTAATATTAGGGTCTTCCCAACTGTATCCTAAAATAAGATACCAGAAAATGTATGTTATATTATTGAAAACTGAGCAAAATTTAAGTTACTCTCTTCAGTGAACCTTAGAACCATGACTGATTAATTCACCTCATTCTTCTTCTTTCTCAATCAAATTACAGAGCAAAAGCAATAATCAAAGAACACTTGTCCTCTTATTTTAAAATGTGAAGGAAGATTCAGTCTTACCTATAGTAGTGAGGTTCATGTAGGTCTCCAGCATCACATCTTTGTAGAGATTCTTCTGGGAAAGACCCAGCAAAGTCCACTCTTCCCAAGTGAAATCAACATGCACATCATCATAGGTCACTGCATTCTAAAACATCCCACACATGTGTACAACAGAAAGCATGATACTGACAACATAGTAAATGTATACTTCTTTGACAGTATAGTCATATAATTCTGGTGCTCCCCACACTTATTCCATGACATAGACATTATAATGTTACCAATAAATCACTTTAGAAGTACAGTGAATAGGAGGATCACCTCTGTCATTTCTGTACACTTTGAATGGGATATCACCTTGAAAGAGAAATGCCTATTAGTAAACAGAGAGATAAGTAAACAGATTAACAGTACAGAGTACATATGAGAGAAATTGTATGAACAATTACTAACTACAGAAAAGAAAAATAAGATATGCAAACTGGGTGTATTGGCTCATACTTTTAACCCCAGCACTCAGAAGGAAGAGACAGGTATATTTGTCTCTGAGTGAAATGCCAACCTAGTCTATGCAGCCAGGTCCAGAACAGCCAGAAGTACATATTAAGACCTGTCTCCCATGTAAAAAGCAGTCAAACTAACAAAAACAATAGAAAGAACGCAGAATTTTTGACTGAAGTGCCTAAAAAGAAGTATGCATTTATTCCAATTCTGTATTCATCTTCAAGAAACCTGAAGTGCCCCATTTTATACTGTAAGATCAACAACATTTTACTAAAAGATTTTACATGTTTAAACAGTTACAAATGGATAGATGAAAACATTAGCAATATAAATGTTGATCATAAATAATCAACACAGGGCAGAAGAGATGACTCAGTAGTAAAGAGCTCTTGCTGGTCTTGCATATAGGTGGGCTCAATTGCCAATACTTAAATGAGGGATCACAACTATCCATTATTCCAAGTTCAGGGTTCTGAGACCATCTTTTGAATACTGTAAGGTGATCAACAGGTACCCACATGGTGCATGTCCATGCATACAAGTAAATTACTGATATTCACTTTTTAAAAAATGAAAACAAACACAATGGGTAGGAAGAAGGTCATGCACCTATAATCCAATGACTCAGAAGGCTCAGGCAGTATTAACGTCATGAATACATGCCATCCTGGGAAACAGAATGATAACCTCTGCCAATTTTTAAAATTTAAGATATGGGTGAAGCTCAGTACAACAGCATATGCTTGACATGTACAAAAACCTACATCCCAGGCCCATCACCCAATAATATAAAAAACAGAAAAAGCCAGTATTGTTGGCCCATCTTTAATCCCAGGACTTGGGAGCCAGACTCAGGGGGATCTCTGAGTTCAAGGCCAGCCTGGTGTACAGAGCTACTTTCAGGAAAACCAGGGCAATTCAGTAAAACCTTGTCTTCAAAAACAAACAAAAAAATAAAAACAGCAGGCTACCAAACTGTCTTAGCATGGAATAGCAATTGCTTCTATTGTGTTTTATGTGATTTAGAGATAGATAATGGTATTGAAGCTTTGACAGTAAAAGAAGGAAGCTGGCTGATTAGTTTCGACCACAACACAATAGATACAAAGAACAGGAAATAGGTTAAGGCTATAGAGATTCATATCACACCACCAGTGAGGAATTTCATCCCCAAAGGTTCCTCCTACTAAAGGTTTCACAAGCAATCACAAGAAAGACACACATTCAATACACCAAGGAGAGACACATGTTCAAATACATCATCCTACCTGAGAGGTTTTTTATTCAACCAACTACATTCTGACTCAGGCTCATGGTCATCCATGAAGAAAATGCATTTAGTCACTTCAATTATACTCATAGTCTGCAACAGCCCTTATACCAATGTTACACAACTACCCATAATTCTATGTGTATAGAAACTAACACAGACTTCACAACTCCCACAAAATTAACTCAAAGTGACCCTTAAACTGTTATGTTTCTGATCCTCCAGCTACTGATATTTCTTCCAAACAGAGAGGCTCCAAGCTCTAGAGCTTTCTTGGAAAATGGAGGTAATCTCATGCTATGGCTCTGCAAACTTTCATGTCCCCTTGTGGTTTTAGGCAAACCAAGCCCCACTGATGCCTAATCATCAAATGGTATAGAATAATTTAATGTCTACTTCCTACCACATGGGTTATGGCACATGATGTGGAATCTTCTCTATCTACTTGCCTATCAACATGTAAACCTGTAATACCTCTGTAGCTCAGAAACTTATTTTCTCCCCTGGAATTGAACTTCCCTGAATCAAGTCGAGATTGGTATCAGAAATCCTAAATCATTCTAATCACATCTTCCAGTCTCCCAGAGCACTTCCTGTTCCCCTTCCAAAGCACACAGTCCTTTGTGTACAAATTCCAATATACACTGATTGTCCAGTACAGCCAACCCTTTGCTTCATAGCTAGGAAGACTTGCAGTCAAACACAGGTCACATTCAAACAGTAACTGTTGTTACTGTGTAACTGTTGTTAAAGAAAAACAGCCATGAATTAGAAAACAATGAGTGGTCAATGGTAGGGCTTGTAGACAGGAAAGAGACTGTGGGCATGACATAGTCACAATTGCAGAGAATTATTTTGAAAAGTTGAAACAGAATTGATGGCCATGTATTCTAGAGACTAAGGATTTGTATGGGAGCAAACCAAAGATTACTCACATCTTTTTCCCCCTGGGGCTATACATCTTAAACAAGAAAATTGGCAGCCCTGTTAGGTAGGGCCACACTATTTTATCAGATCTTCTATATTAGTTGAACTTATGTAAGTACAGTAATTTGATTTCATAATGAGGTTAGCCCTTTATTAAGATTATTAAATGCTCTGGTCTATGGACCCAGAGAAATTGCCAGTCAGGACATTTATGATCACCTAAAGTTGATTATATGACTCCACATTGCTAATCACAAATACTATTGAAGCAAATAAGCTCTCACTCTCCTTCCTGCTCCTACCTTTCTGCACTGTCACTACATCAGCTTCAAAGTTGTCAGTAAACTCAATTCTTGCACCGGTTCCTCTTCATTTCTATGTCCCCCCCCCCAAAAGTCAGGGAGACTTGGGGATTAGTCATTGACTAGTCAAGGCCAAGCCTAATCTTCCCAGCGCTGTACAGCAGAGGCAGGGTTAGGTGTTCAATGCAATTCTCAATTACATAGTATGAGTCAAGCCTATGTTACAGGAGACATTGCTCTACACAGAAATCAATAATCAACAGCTCTTGAGAGAAAAGGAATGAAACAATTAATGATCTAGAAACATTAGTGAACAGAGACAAATAGATAAGAGTAGTAATGCACTTAAAGAAAATGTTAAAAACAATACCAATATGTGATGTTTTAAAATGATAAAAATATTGCATTTTTAAGATACAGAACTTAGTTATATTAACTTTGAAAAAGAGTAGGACCTTCTCTAAAGGGAATGTCATTAATAAGAGATAGACTGATTTTGCCCATATGCACTTGTTGGCTGCTGTAACCTGACACACAGAGTTATAGTTAATGGCCTTTTAATCAAACCTGAGCTGACATAACTGTGTCAAGCAGGATTGAACATATCTGCATAGAAAGTTGCCTAATAGAAATTTCAATATCCTTTGATACTGAATTCTCCCCAGGTGCCTGCCCTGAGGAGATTTCTGCCAAGGTCCAGAACAGAAATGACAAGTGGCTAGGATTCTAATCTGAGGGATATGAAATGAATCTAAGCACACTGAGTTCTTTAGTCCATTTACTTTATTCTTCTAAGTAAATTTTATCTACAGTTTCTTTTCTGTTCTCATACTTAGCTCCTCTCGGTGCCTTCTGCTCTCAGTCTCTTCTACTGTTCTCTCATATCTATCTAGTTCTTTCCATCTCTGTCCTCGTCTTTGTTCTTCTAAATCAATTCTCCCATTGCTATGGGGGAACCAGTATGTATACACAGGCAGTAATTCTTTGGCAAAGCAATGCGAGGCTTGAAGTTTTCAGGATTGCAGAGAGGGGTGATAAGATCCCACATAGAGCAGTAATTGTCAGCTTCCAATTACAACCCAAATGGGGGGGAGTGACTAAAGGGGAATTCTCTGGTAGGGTCGACTAAAGGCTAAGATCAATTAGAAAATTCTAAAAAGTAATTTATGTACTCAAGCTATCATCTAGCAGTGGCTAGGTAGAATGTTAGGGGTCAATAAGTCACTAGAAGAGTAAAATTATCTTTAGTGCTGCTTTCTCCCACTCATCCTGGCTGAAGCTGCTTCTTGATAGGGAGGGGGACATATGCTCAGTGGCTAAGCAACCTACCCTACATCAGAGCATGTAACATTTGGTTAGTAAAGGCACTTTCTGCTCTGAGAAATTGTCAAGGAAATCTTGACAAGGAATAGCACCTGGGGAGATAAAAAGTGGGGAGAATAAAAATATTAATTTGCATAAGAAACAAAGCTTGGCACCAATCGCCTGCCTGGCCTTGTCAGAAATCTCCTTAGGTCAGAGAGAAATAACTGCCTTAACTCAGTAACTAGCAAGTGGCTAAAAATATCATGCCAGGAATGTGAGCAATAAACCTCTTAAGTTAGAGTCTTGTCTAAATAACCCAGGGTGAAGATAAGGAGTTGAAGATTTAATTGCAAGTGGTTATTTTCTTCCATCTGTAGGTGAGATTAGCAAATGTTTATCTATGTGCAGTTTTGTTCTTGGAAAAAGGTATCATTGCTGAAATACTTTTGTTTGGAGAATGGACAATGAAAAAATAAACACAGCTGGGTAGAGTTATCCAATTATCCCAAATGTGTAAAGAGAGTTGTGCCCAAGACTGAGATGCAATCATGAGATTACATGTACACATAACATGGAAATACACAGTAAATGGGGAGAATCATAGTTGTTATTGCACAAGAAGTTTACAAGGAAAAGCTAATTCACTCAAAAGTCAGCAATCCCATAACACCTTGCATGATGGTTTGCTCTAATAGAACCCTTAGTTCTGATAGTTTGACCTTCTGAACTCTAGTTGTCACTGTCGTTTACTCCCATGGTCTTTTTGCTACCAGTGACTCTCAATACTTTGGTGCAAGTTGACCTTCCCAAATTATACACCAACCAGTCTGGTCTATC